CGATTTTGGCAACTTGGGGCCCTCTTCGGAGGCCTCTTGGAAGGCCCTTGGAGCGTCTTGGAGGCCTCTTGGGCTGTCTTGGGGCCATCTGGGGCGTCTTCGGGCGATCTTTGGCCGTCTCGGGCCTCTCTTGGACCGTCTAGAAAGCTTCTCGGGGCCCTCTTGGACCGATCTGGAGCCCTCTTGGACTCCGAAACAGAACTCCGGCATCTCTGACCCGACCTTGCCGGGACCTTGCCGGGGACTTGCCGGGGACTTGCCGGGACCTTGCCGGGGTACTTTTCGTCCGGGGACCCCCAGGGGCCGCCCCGCGCGCGCGAACTAGAAATACTGTTAACCAGGTACCGGAGATCTTAGCACGCCCTGGCCCGTTGGGCCGGCGAATTTTGGCCCTCCTCCCGCCCTTCCCCCTCCCCCGTTTCTCTCCTGCCACTCCTCCTCCCTCCTCCTCTCCTCCCTCGTCCCCCTCCTCCCTGGGCTCTCCTCCTCCTCCCCCCTCCCTCCTCCCCCTTCTGAGGAGGAGTGGGCAGGGAGGAGGAGGACGACGAGGGCAAGGATGAGGAGGGGGAAGGGGGGGAGGAGCTCCTCCCCCCAGGTACTGCGGGCTGCCCGCCTCCTCGCGGTACGGCCACTCGGCGACGGCCATCGGCCCCCACCTCATCATCTTCGGCGGCTGGGACGGGGGCAAGGCCCGTCTCATTCCACTCCTCTTCCTCCTCCTCCTCCTCCTCCTCCTCTTTATCTTCCTCCTCCTCCTGCTCCTTCTCCTCCTTCTCCTCCTCCTCTCAAGAGAGAAAACCCACACCAACACTCACCAGGACGATTTTTACTTTTTTTCGGAACGCCTGTGGATATAGTCGACGCGCTCCGACGGCGAATAGCTCAAATCGCCACATGTTTGCTTCCATATCGCATCGTATTATAACACCGTCCCTTTTTGAAAAGGAAGAACAACAAGCAAGAACACGGCTTCTGCGTTCTATTCATTTGGTGACTTCGTTTGAACACATGCCCGAGTGCATGTGCGCGACGTCACGATTTGGGTAACGTTCCGGGGGTTCTCGCGCATGACGCATTCAGTAACAATGCTCGGGCGTATACACACATATCTTGTATGTAGGAAGCAGTTTTCGGTTGTATGAAATGGGTTTTGCCCGCCGTTCGGCGACTGCGTTTTCTGCAATTCTCTAGGGGTCTCGCCAGGGGCACGAGCGGCCGACGGCGGGCGCCGGGCCGCAGGCCCCAGAGAGAAGCTTTGACGATGTGACTTGTGGTGGGTGCGGGGGTGGCTGGGTTTGCCTTCATCCTTCTTCATCCTTCCTCCTCCTCCTCCTCCTCCTCCCATTCCCTCCCTCCTCCTCCTCCGTCCTCTTCTGTCTCTTCTTCGTCGCCATCACAATCATCATCATCATCATCATCATCATCATCATCATCATCACCGTCATCATCATCACCACCACCACCATCATTATCATCATCGTCACTATCACCATCACCATCACCATCTCCATCACCGTCACCATCACCATCAACATCACCATCATCATCACCATCACCATCATCATCATCATCATCATCATCATCATCATCATTATTACATCATCATCATCATCGTCCTCATCAACATCGTCATCGTCATCGTCATCATCATCAGCACCGTCATCATCACCACCAACAGCATCGTGATTGTTAGCATGATCACCATCATCATTATCATCATCGCCACCACCATCATCATCAGTATCATCATCATCATTATCATCATTATTATCATCATCATTATCAGCAGTATCAGCATCAGCATCAGCATCAGCATCACCATCATCATCAACATCATCATCATTATCAGTATACTCATCATCATCGTCATCAGCATCACCATCATCATCATCAGCATCATCATCATTATCAGCATCATACGCGTCATCATCAGCATCATCGTCATCGTTCGTCATCGTCATCGTCAGCGGCATCGTAATCATCATCATCAGCATCATCATCATCCTCATCCTCATCATCATCATCATCATCATCATCATCATCATCATCATCATCATCATCATCATTACCGTCATAGTCGTCAAGACCCTCGTCATCGTCGTCGTCATCATCATTATCATTCATGCTCCTTCCTCCTCCTCCTCCTCCTCCTCCTCCTCCTCCTCCCGCTCCTCATCTCCTCCTCCTCCGCCCTCCTCGTGCTCCTCCTCCTCCTCCTGCTCCTCCTCCGCCTTCTCTTCCCTCCTCCTCCTTCTCCTCCTCCGTCCTCCTCCTCCTCCTCCTCCTCCTCCTCCTCCACAAAACCCTCCTTCCTCCTCCGTCCTCCTCCGTCCTCATCGTCTTTCTCCCTCCAACAGACCCTCCTTCTCTCTCCTCCTCTCTTCTTCCCTCCTCCTCCCTTCTCGTTCTCCTCCGCAGGGAGGACTCACGAGTCCGCGGCACTCCCACATCCTCCCCGACCCGGCCGAGGACCCAGGCCTCTTCGGGCTCTGTGGGGGGAAGGGGGCTGGAGGTCCAGCGCCCGCGCACCCAACACAGATTTAGGAAGTTCAGCATTGGTGCTGGTATCTGATGGCTTTCGCACCATCCGGTCACCGTGCCTGATGGATCTTCGTTGGGATCACGTGTGAGGCCTCTGGGGGGCCTCTTGTCGGCAGTTCTGAGGCTTCTTGGGAGCCGTTTTGGCGCCTCTTGGGGTTTCTTTAGGGCGGATATGCGTGGTCGAACACCGGCCTGAGCCGGCATAGTCCCGTTGAATTCTGCTGAACCTGGCTGAATTCTGCGTAGTTTGGTTCCTAGGCTTGCCACCCGTTGCCATGACCATTCTGCCACGGGGTGCATCTGTATCGCGGCGTGCGGAGTGGTCGCATCTTCAGGCGATGCGATGAGGCAACGTGCCCTTGAGCGCAGAACCTGCCCACCGTCGCGATAAAACGTCGCGGGGTCAGTTTCCGAAGATGTGGAGTAAGTCGTTTCTGCAGCAAGAGCAAGCGGGGTGAGTTCACCCCTGGCGGCGGAGTATCTGTTTTCTTTGTGAAAAGATGCGCGGAGTAAGTTTACACACCGAGTTGACATTCTACCCATAGTATCACAACCGAACAGAACCTGTGTCAGGGCCGAAACATACTCTGCCGCCCGTTTACGGCGTCGGAGTAGGTTTCGGCTTTGAGCCGCGTCTGGGATGGGTAGCGTGGATAGTATGCCCGATGTGGCGCGACCGCACCCTGCGCGATTTATCCGTAAGGGCTTCGCCCCCATACCGGCGGCCCCCTTCTCTCAGAATGGGACTTGCCAGAGCTGTGTTGGGATGTGTGGACGCTGGCGCGAAGCAATATCGGGACTTCACACGAGGGTCGGTAACAATTTACGAGGGTTTATGGCTTCGGTGGCGCGAATACTACTGAATCTATTATGGTTGATGGCTTCGGGGACGCGAATATGGTGTAATTTCGCAAGTTTGTGGCCTCGGGGATGCAACTATTGTATAATTTACAAGGGTTTATGGCCTCGGGGGCGCAAATATTGCATAATCTAGGGTGTCAATGACCTCGGGGACGCAAATGTTGTAATTTGCAATGGTTTGTGGCCTCGGGGTCGCAAGTACGGTGTAATTTACAGGGGTTTATAGCCCTGGGGACGCGACTTTTATAATTTTCAAAGGTTTATGGCTTCGGGGGCGAGAGTATTTTGTAATGTACGAAAGTTTATGGCTTCGGGGACGCAAACATTGCATCATTTACGAGGGTTTATGGTTTCGGGGACGCACCTATCGAGTAATTTGCGAAGGTTTATGGCTTCGGGGATGCGAGTATTACAACATACATCTTAAAAAGGTTCATGGCCTCGGGGACGCAAATATATGGTAGTTTACTATGGATTATGGCCTCGGGGGCGCGAATATTTAGTAATTTACAAGGGTTCATGGCCTCGGGGACGCACATGTTGTATAATTTGCAGCGGTTCGTGGCCTCGGGAACGCACATACTGTGTAATTTCAAAGGGTTTGTGGCTTCGGGGGCGCGACTATTGGGTAATTTACAAGGGTTGATGGCCTCGGGGACGCAACTGGTGATTGCGTAATTCATAAGGTGACGGAAAGAGCGAGGTACGAGCGAGTGACGTTGAGCAGGGGGCGAAGCCCTTCTAGGGAGGGGTCCAGGGGAGGGGCGAGGCGGGCAGGCGGGGTCTAATGGTTCTATTTTGGGGGCTTTCCCTAAGGTTTTTGTATACTTTCTCTGAACATTGGGGGTTTCCCTTAGGGTTTTTGCATGATTTTCGGGCATTTGGGTTTTTTTTCCCCCGGGCTTTTGCATGTTTTTCGGATTTCATTTTTATCCCGTCCCAGAAGAGCCCCAGACAGCCCCAAGACGTCCCCCCCAAGAGGCCCCCAAGAGGCGCCCAAGGGGCGTCCCAAGAGGGCCCCAAGAGGCCAAAATCATTGGTTTTCCATAGGAAAACGTAGATTTTTAGCATCTACGGCTTTTCGCCTTTCACGGCGTTGACGACGGCCCAAGAGGCCCCCAAGACCGGCCCCCAAAACGGCCCAAGAGGGCCCCCAGACGGCCCAAGAGGCGCCGCAGACGGCCTAAGAGGGCCCCAAGACGGCCCCGAGAGGGGGACTACGAACCGACAAGTCTAGCCTATCGCCCCAAGACGCCCCCAGGAGGCCCCCACAGCCCCCCACGAAGCCCCAAGAGGCCCCCAAGAGGCGTCCCCGGAGGCCAACAGCAGGCCAAAAACATACATTTTCTATAGGAAAGCGTATTTTGTTTAGCACGCACGGCTTTTCGGCTTCCACGGCGTGGAAGACGGTCCAAGAGGCTCCCAAGACCGCCCCACGACGGCCCCAGAGGCTCCCAAGAGGCCCCCAAAACGGCCGTCTCTCTGGTCTGAATGGGTCCATCAGTATATTCAACCTCCACCTCCCTAACACGAGTGACTCTGTTGCCACGTTCTCCCGCGCGCTGTCATTGCTTCGGTCTGAATTCCAGAAGTACCCGAACGATCATAGGATCCTGATTGGGGACTTTAACTTTGTGCCTGAGGAGGAGGGACGTATGCAGTATGACGGGTCGGGATGGAGAGCAGGTGATCGCGCTCAAGCCAGGCTTTTTCAACGACACTTTCCTCACCTCACTGAATTTTACCAAGAGCAGGACACCAGGCGGGAGGTCAGGGATGGGGTCATTACTCTTTCGGCACGTTTGGATCGGGCGTACACCTCCCTTCCTCAAGCTATCATACGTGACCTGGACATACGCTGTGGCGTCCTGGGCAAGCTCAAAGCAAAAATGGCTAGCGATCACATCCCGATTTTCATCAATATCGAGCCCTTCAGGCCCCAAGATGGCCCCAAAAACATCCCGAAGTGGATCTCGAAGCACCCGGAGTTCCAACGGTTCCTGGAGGCCGCCATTGCAGATATGTCCACGGAGCTAGGTCCCTGGGAGCGCCTCGAGCAGCTCAAGGAATTGATGTTTGCCTCGGCCGCGCACGTGCGCGAGTTTGTCAAGCACGAGGTTGCCAACACACTCGAGCTTAAGCAGTATTGGGCCTTGCAGGCTCTTCGAGGATGGCGACTGGGCAAAGATTGGCTAATCCACCGTGCACTTAAATGCTACCCTACGTTACAATCGCATTTTTGCCTCACCACGTTTCAGTGTATCTGCCTGGAGGGCCTCTGCAGTCT